CATTTCCGAGCTCTCTCGCCTCCTCCTTGACATGCTTTGTAAAACGTAAAGACATCAGGACATCTGGCTCTTACACAGGTTTCCATCAGTAGCGCTCAACATGCTGCAGAAAGGCGGTCAATGTCATTATCCTCATTTTACAGATTGCAGAAATGAGTGACTTGGCCAAGGTCACCCAGGAAGCCAGCGGCTGGGTTGGAAACAGAACACAAGTCTCCCTAATCTCTAGCCAGAGCCTTCCCCATTGGGTCCGACTGCCTCTCTAAGCAATGGAGAGAGCCACCGGGTTTGACTGTCTCTCCGGGCCTACGTCTAGACTGCATCCCTCTGTCGACAGAGGGATGCAAGTCAAGCACATCGAAATTGCTAATGAAGCCGGGATTTACATATCCCGCCCCTCATTAGCATAAACATGGCCACCGCTTTTTTCGAAACAGAGGTTTTTTTTCAAAAAAACCGCAGTCTAGACGCGGATCTGTTGAAAATAAAGTGTTTTTTGACAGATCCTGTATTCCTCAAAAAATGAGATTTACAGGATCTGTCGAAAAAGCCTTTTATTTTTGACAGATCCGCGTTTAGACTGCCATTTTTTTTGAAAAAAACTGTTTTGAAAAAAAAGGTGGCCATGTTTATGCTAATGAGGCGCGGGATATTTAAATCCCAGCTTCATTAGCAATTTCGACGTGCCTAATCTACATCTCTCTGCCAACAGAGAGGTGTAGTCTAGTCACACCCTAGGCCAGACAGTCTTGTGCCCCCAGACTGCAGCCAGTAATATGCTCTCTACGTCAGTGATTTTCAACCTTTTTGTTTCCATTTGTGGACTCTTAGCACTTTCAAATGGAAGTGCAGACCCCTTTGGAAATCTCAGACATAATCTGCAAACCCTTGGAGGCCCACAGACTATAGGCTGAGAACCACTGCTCTAGCTGGATGCTCAGTGGAATGGCATTCAGACACACCACTGACAGATTCACTCCAAACGCTCTAGTACCTTGGGGATTCTGCTGCTTTATTTAGTGGGGGCCCTGGAGCACTTCCTGAACGTAGAGCGTCTTCAGTCTCTTTCTGGTTTTCCCTTGAAGGATCGACTCCATGTCTCACATGGCTTGGCAGGGGGGGACTTCCTCTCTGTGAGTCTGAGCGCACCAACCACCTGGAAGTCACCTTGTTTGCCTCCCCTCTCACTCTTAGATAGCGTTTTCGCCTGATTTTCAGGGTGCCCATCTCTTCTAGGCTCTCAAGATCCTGGCTCATTCCTTCACCTCTTAGCACCTGCTTAGAGGCCTCATTAGCAAGAGGCTGGGATGCTTCTTTACGGAAGTTACGGAGCTGCTGCAGCAGCAGGCTTTTCCCAGTGCAATCGCTGCAAATCAAAAATCAAATGGATTAAGCCAAGGTAGAGCATTATAATTTAGCAGATCCTTACTGAGGACCCTAATTTGACTGGTGGCGCAAAGCGGGCTTACAAGATCAGCTTGGATAATGGTTATTGATGTCCTAATGTTAGCTCACGGATGATAGAACAAGCCACCATGAGCCCACCTGGAATTCTTTGGGCACCCAGGTGGATCAAGTAGCCATTGCTGCATTGATCTGGACATTATGAACCTAGACAGCACTCGTGAGGCTCTGGTGGCATTGTCCCTTGTGATGGGACTAGTTATTTGCCTCTGCTGAAGAAGTGGTAGAGGGGATGGTCAGTTACACTCTGACTCTGCTGCAGTAGACTATTATCTAGAACGGTTTACGGTACACACAGCTCCTGGCTCTAGAGAGGGAGGGCGAACATTTTCAAAAACCCTTACACGATTCAAGAGCCGATAGCCCATTTCTAAAAGTGCCATAGACATGTAGGAGCCCAAGTTTCATTGAACGCCAATGGGATTTAGGAGCCAAGTCACTTTAGAAAGTGGGACTTAAGGGCCTTTGAAAAGGCCCTTGTGCCTGTCTCAGGAGCACTGAGCAAATGGACTGCGGCATGGAAGTCTGAGAGTCCACCGCTCCCCCCAAGTAGCCCCTGTCCCATCCAGTGGGTATAAAGAGAGAAGATTCCCCCCTACTATTCTTATAGAAGAGAGGAGGGAGATCAGGGAGGCCTTCTTCCTCCCTGCATCTGCGGAAATGATGCTGGTGTGTTATCATGAGCAGCACAATGCTGGGATTTCCCTGGCTCACAATGACAGCGGAACGTTGCAACTCAACAGCAGGACACACTTGTTTTGTGGCTGCCTGTCACTTTGATGGTGAAGGCGCTCACTAGATGTCCGGTACCAGGGGAGGGCCACCAGATTTGGGTGTCAAGAAGGGAGCATTGCAGAGGTCACAGCTCAGCTCTGATGGAGGCAGCTGAGAATTATTTGGACCCAGACAAATGGCTTTGTGCTGAGTTTGATATTGCAATGTCCTGGCTCTGCCGAGCCTACGCCTGCATGCTAGTGCGGTGCTGTGCTCTAGTCAAACTAACCTTATACTTTTCAGAACACAGAGTATTCTGCAGCTAGGCTTCCCACTTCTGTTTTCTTAAGGGTCTCCTCTTTCTTATCTCTGCTTAGGAACCACCACTTCAACCTATAACCTCTTCTGGAGAGAACAAGACTCTGCTGGACACCTGAAACCACTGGGTACTGTGAGAATTGGACCATTCAGGGGAATGACTAAGCCGTGTGGGTTTGCTAATACCCCCCAGCCAGATCCCAACGATGATGAATGAACTCAGCAGCCATACAGCAGGGCTTCAGATTCTATATCTGTTGCCAGGTGAGCTGCTGATGTAAGTGCAGAGTGATGATTGTTCATTCCTGGCCTTGTCTGGACTGTGCAGTGGTAGCAGCAGTGCTAGCAGAATGCCTTGGGACAACACACCTTGGACAATCATGAGTCACATACAAGAGCCAAGATGGCAACCCAGCAGTGAGGATTCTGACTGGATATTTGTCTGTCTCCAGTGGAACAGATGTGACAATTACACTACCTCTCTGCTTGCTTTTCCTCTGGGAGGCAATGAGCAGGGTAGGGTGAATCTGACGCTGCTCCGTATGGAAGTGTAGGGATTGAAATGAGTGAGGCTTGCTGGCCCTGCCAAGGAGGCAAGGTGGGAAATGTCAGAAGCCAGCGGTGGTGCACAAGTACAGAGATTTCTTACACGTGACCCTGGGGACCTGCCAGGTTTGAGGGCACAGCCCAAAGCCTTGTCTGCATCTCCCTGAGGAGATCTCCGTCCCACAGGCTTCCCCCTGGGAGACATCATTTAGATCAGGGGTGGGTAATAATTTTTGCCCGGGCGCCACTTCAAAAAAATTTTAAGTAGCCCCGGGCCACCCTGGAAGGTGCGGGATCTAAACAGGAAGGGGCAGGGCTACCCACCCCCAGACCATGATTGGTCTGGGGGAGCCCCTTTGTCCCCCTTACCACTAGGCACCCATGCCCTCGAAGAGTCTTGGCATGTTCCCCACTCCCAGGCCAATCAGAGTCTGGGGGCGAGAGAGCGCGGGAAGCCTCCTCCCTGCAGGGCCAGGGCAGGGCGAAGGAAGCTTCATGCAGCTCCCTCGCCCCCCAGGCCCTGATTGGCCTGGGGGTGGGGGAGCGCGCAAAGCTTTCTCTGCTCTGCCCCCGCCCTGTGAGCAGCGCAGGGGCAGAGTGGAGAAGGCTTCGCACACTCCCCTGCCCCCAGGCCCTAACTGGCCTGGGAGCGGGGCAGCAGCAGGGCCTCCATGGGCTGGATCACCCCTTTTGCCCACCCCGATCTAGATTCTAGCCCAGTGTAACTCAGGTGTAATTCCACTCAGGTCAGTAGAGTGACACCAGCTCTAAGCCCAAGTAAATGAGATCAGAATTCGGCCCGTGGGGCTTCTGCCTGCTCAGATGACCGGATTTCCTAACGTAGAAACAAAAAACCTTAATATTTGTCAGACCTTTGCATCATTTTCACAATTTTAAAACCGATCAAAATATACTTGGACAGGGTCTGTTTTACGTGACTCTAGATTTACACTGGCGTCTCTCCCAGGGATTTCAGCGGCATTTCTCTGGATTGACACCAGCACAGAGGAGAGCACCCGGGCCCCTGATTGCTCTTGCTTGGTTCTGGTGTCTGACTAGTCTCAGCTGCTAAGACACTCTGAGTGGCTGGGCCCTGCGCCTTGGCGAATCACATATTCCTTCACAACTATTTTTAAAAATAAGTGTAATTGGTTCTAACAAAAACAGCACAAAACAGCATGTTCTGCTTGTTCCTTCTACTGCTCTAATTCAGGTATAAGTGCGTCATTAAGATCCAGGGAATGTTTCTAAAGATAACACCAAGCGCACATGGGTGAAGAATTTAGACCCTGATTCAACAAAGGGCTTAATCATGTACATAACTTTAGGCATCTGAGCAGTAACTACTCGCATGCTTAAAGTTATGCATCTGCTTAATCACCTTGCTGAATCAGATGCTGAGGTTGGCAACAGGGAAGAGTTGCCAGCCCTGAATACAGAAGCATTTACAGTTGGGTTTCTTGACTGGTCACATAATACCTAGACAAATAAGGAGATTGGAGAGTTTTTTTTCCCCACGCAGTGTGATCATTCTAGAGCAATGTCAAGTACTAGCTTGTTTGATCATTTTCCTAACAAGGTTGGCTGTGAGTCTCCACCCACAGGTTTTTTAAATGTTTGATTCAGAGTTATTTAAAAACAATTCTCTCACGTAACTCAAAATGGCTCAAAAAAGAGGCATTCTTCCTATTGGCTATATCTACTCTGCATGGTGATAAGTATCAGCGGGGTAGCCAAGTTAGTCTGTATCTGCAAAACAATGACAAGTCCTGTGGCACTTTAAAGACTGAAGTTTTTGCCCATAAAAGCTAATGCCCAAATAAATCTGTTAGCCTTTAAGCTGCCATAGGATTCCTGTTGTTTCTACTCTGTATGTGTCTTTTGAGCCATGTCTGTTGCATTTACCGACAAAAAAAGAAAAGATTGGCGCTCAATATCTCTATAGATCCCATGTAGCTGCAAAAGAACAAGGTGAATTCTATTCCGCCGTAAGCATTAATTTGGTTCTATCTCCAGCATCTTAATTATGGCTGCAGCAGACAGAACACAAAACTGTTTGTTAGCTAGAGACAAACGTTGTGTTTCAGCTATTAAGTGGAGCAGATCTGCAATAAGACACTGCCAGGCAGAATTTCAATAGGTGAGGTGTCACTCTCAAAGTCTTTCTTGGGGATCATTTCAGGTTCATGACAAGGAAAGTTTGTACCGTGGTCCTTGGGAAGACTTTGGCATACTCTTTGTTTTCTGTTGGTCCTTAACCGTTGTGTCCCCCTCATCCTCAGTGGAACTGTCACTCCTCAGTGGAACTGTCACATCCTCAGTGGAACTGTCACAGTGGAAGCTGTGAAGAAAAGAGATCGAATTACTGGACACCTCTGTTCACTATCACAGTAACAACCACCAGCCTGGGGCACTTCTCCATAATGTGCTGTCTTAGTCAGACCTGAGACAGACGTTTAAAACAATGGGATGTTAAAGAAAATATACGGAGTGAGACCTGCAGCTGGTATCAACTGGCACAGCTCCATGGACTACAGTGGTGCTAGGTTAATTTATATAAGCTCAGGATTTGGCCCATAGTGCAATAAAATAAATAAATAATGATAATAAATAATATGTTTATAATTTAAAAGTGCATAGAGACAGCTCCTCAGGGGCATCATCCCAATAGCAAATACTCCAATAACTGATACACATGGATGCCCTAACAACAGAACCCGCTTAGACAACGTAACTCATCTTGGATCATGAAAGACAATCTCATGATTGTTTTTATTGGAACAATGTGCTTTTAGCTAAATTTAAATCGACAGTAAAATCAAAGCTCCCTGAGGGTTACATTAGACCTCCTTAATGAGATACTTTTAGAGCCAGGTGTGTTAGATGAGTGCATCTGAAACATCTACTTGGCTCTCATTATCTACAAGGTGTCTCCAGATCACGGTTTTCTTCAAAGCCATTTTCTAGCAAGCACCATCACTAGCATCTCTGGGAAGAGAGAACAGCAGTTTCTACTTAGTTGTTAATAACTACTGTCCATTCCCATTGTGGACATGCACCTTGGGGAGGAAGCAAATAGTCTCTCAGGCTACGTCTACACAGCAACATTATGTCAAAATAACTAGCGTTACTTCGAAATAACTTAGTCGGCCTCTACACAGCAGGCAGTTATTTCAAAATAATGTCGAAATACTGTCAAGCTGGAGGACTGCTTGCTCCAACTCCTGTAACCCTCATTGTACGAAGAATAAGGGAAGTCGGAGGAAGAGTGCTCTATTTGAAATAAGTGCTGTGTAGACGCTCCCAATTTCAAAATAAGCTACACAACTGACGTAGCTCAATTTGCATAGCTTATTTTCAGTTAAGCCCTGCCATGTAGACACATCCTCAGACTCATTAGCTTTAGAGAAGACCCTGGGCCAGAGCTTTTGGAGTGTGGGAAAGAAGCCAATCTCCCAGAATTCACCTCTAGGAACCTCTTAGTCTCACAGGGAGACTGAGAAAGCAAAGGCAGCAATCCCTTGTTTGCCCATCTATCTGGATTTCTGACTGCATAGTTTCCCTTTCAAAATGCTCGCTTTCTCCACCAATATGCCACCCTTTCCAGACAAAGGGCAGGGAGAAGTGATACAGCAAAGAAAGCTTTTCATGGTACTTGCTCATCACAGGCATGGGATATTGCAACCACCGTCAGGTTCATGACCTTGGACCCTGGTTTTCCACAAGCATCAGATTTCAGTAATTACCTTTGATTTTCATTGGGCAGAAACGCAGATTGGTGTGGCTTAGCATCCCTTAAATCAATGTACACTGTTGGGGGCTCTGCTGGGCCCTGCAGTTCTGGCACATCCCTACTTCGACAGCTCTGGGGAGATGGTGGGAAGACGACTTCTCTGTGAATATAAATAATCATTTCAATGTAGTATTCATCTATGAGGGACAAGAGCTCCAGCAGGACACACATTTGGAATGGAAATAGATCGAGAAGGGGACCGTGCTTCTGGGTATTAGGCAGGTTCCAGCTCACAGTCTCTGCACATGGTCATAGAATCATAGAATACTAGGACTGGAAGGGACCTTGAGAGGTCATCAAGTCCAGTCCCCTGCCCTCATGGCAGGACCAAATACTGTCTAGACCATCCCTGATAGACATTTATCTAACGTACTCTTAAATATCTCCAGAGATGGAGATTCCACAACCTCCCTGGGCAATTTATTTCAGTGTTTGACTACCCTGACAGTTAGGAACTTTTTCCTAATGTCCAACCTAAACCTCCCTTGCTGCAGTTTAAGCCCATTGCTTCTTGCTCTATCCTCAGAGGCCAGGAAGAACAAGTTTTCTCCCTCCTCCTTGTGACACCCTTTTAGATACCTGAAAACTGCTATCATGTCCCCTCTCAATCTTCTCTTTTCCAAACTAAACAAGCCCAGTTCTTTCAGTCTTCCTTCACAGGTCATGTTCTCTAGACCTTTAATCATTTTTGTTGCTCTTCTCTGGACCTTCTCCAATTTCTCCACATCTTTCTTGAAATGCGGTGTCCAGAACTGGACAAAATACTCCAACTGAGGCCTAATCAGCGCAGAGTAGAGCGGAAGAATGACTTCTCGTGTCTTGCTCACAACACTCCTGTTAATGCCTCCCAGAATCATGTTTGCTTTTTTTGCAACAGCATCACACTGTTGACTCATATTTAACTTGAGGTCCATTATAACCCCTAGATCCCTTTCTGCAGAACTCCTTCCTAGACAGTTGCTTCCCATTCTGTATGTGTGAAACTGATTGTTCCTTCCTAAGTGAAGCACTTTGCATTTGTCCTTATTAAACATCATCCTTTTTATCTCAGACCATTTCTACAATTTGTCCAGATCATTTTGAATTATGATCCTATCCTCCAAAGCCGTTGCAACCCCTCCAAGCTTGGTATCATCTGCAAACTTAATAAGCGTACTCTCTATGCTGATACCTAAATCGTTGATGAAGATATTGAACAGAACTGGTCCCAAAACAGACCCCTGCAGAACCCCACTTGTTACTCCTCTCCAGCAGGATTGTGAACCGTTAATAACTACTCTCTGGGAATGGTTATCCAGCCAGTTACGCACTCACCTAATAGTAGCCCCATCTAAGTTGTATTTGCTTAGTTTATTGATAAGAATATCATGCGAGACCATATCAAATGCCTTACTAAAGTCTAGATGATAGATGAACATTATCAAAACCACCAAGATTCAAACTTCACAGCAGCTGAATTCGACGGACATTATTGGCATTAATGCATGTCACAGAGTTCAGGTCAGGTCAGCGTTCACAGCACCTTTGTGATCCTCTGGGCTAGACAGGAGTTGAAATGCTACAGATTTACAGTCTGCTTGTCCTTCTAACCAAGCAAAGTCCTTGCCTATACTGAAAACTGGCGATTCCTCAAAGATGTCCAATACTGTTGATTATTTGGAAACAGCCAGACATATAAATCTACCTGATCAGACTGGGCAGAAAATGGGATTTTTTGATCCCCTCACAGGAGATGCCTACACTTGTCTGCTTAGAGACCAGTTGGTGATGCTCTGATTTGTATCCCCTGCCAGAGGTTGAATCTTCTGACCTCTCAGGACCCCTTGTCCCATGGTTAATGATTATTATTTATTTCTCAAGCACTGATGGAGAGGTTGATACTGGAGAACACAGAAAAAGGAAGTCCCTGCCCCAAAGAGCTTACAATCTCAAACACCGGCACATGTTTGATTACTGTAACTTCCTCCTTTGGCTTCCTAGGCAGGCCTCTGTCTCATTCCCATGTGCTGTCACTAATATCATGTCACATCACTCCCGCCTTTGAATGCCTCCACTGCCTCCCACATCTTCACCGCACCGCATGGTCAAGACGCCATTGAGAGAAAATACTAACCCCAAGCCTCCCATTCAGTGATTAAAACATGGCCACTCCTCACGCTCGTTACGTTGCTTGACTGCTCGAGCCCAGTCTCCTGCCCTTCGCCCAGGCCTGGTTTTAGACTGCACGCTCTTTCTGTGTAAATCAAACACTCTGGAAGAGCAGAGAAAGGAGTCTGCGTTTCTGCCCTCCCCCCAGCATGGAAGGGCACCTTACTGATGACAGTCAACCACTACCAAATGGAGCAGTGACCCCGCATGGTCATGGATGTGTCTCCCCCTAGAGCTGGTCATCGTGGCTTGAGTCAGCAGGGGGGGTTGCTCACTTCAGGCTGGAGCCAGCACCCATGGAAGTCAATGGAAATCTTGACTTCAATGGGCACCTGATTGGGACCTGTAATTGGGGGCTGGTTGAGTTGATTCAGATAATTTTGGGTGAGATTTTGAAAGGACCCAAAGGGAGTTAGATGCCAGAATCCCATTGCAATTCAATAGAAAGTTCGACATCTAATTCTCCTAGGGTCTTTTGCCAATACAACCCTTTGAGAGCAACAGGGTCCAAGAGCCCTTCACTGCTGCAAAGATAGATTGTAATGCACTCTAGGGATGGAACTGTGTAGTCGATTAACCAATAAGCAAAAGCTTGTAGGTTAATGCTACAGACGACACGCATTTCCCTCCCCTCAACCAGTAAATTATTAAGCAGGCTGGCCAGCAGCCTGGCTCAGTATCTAGCTCATGCCAGGTCCGGGACCTCCCCCTGCTGTGTCTCTACATTTAAAGTGTATTAGGAGCTGGGTGGCAGGCAGCACAGCTCAGTTCCAGTTCACACCAGTTCTGGGAGCTCAGACACACACACCCCAGACAGGGGCTGCTGCTACCCTGCACTGCTGCCTCTTTAGCAGCACAGGGTGTCAAGCAGCTGGTCTGCAAGAGGAGCTGGTTTTTAAATTGGACTAGCTCCCACCCGGCACTCTACGCTGCTGCTGGCCCCGCCCCGGGGACTATAGAATAGTCAACTATTCGATAAGAATTCATGAGGTTATTTGACTATTCAATTAACTGATATTTAACATCTCTGATGCATACAGTCACTTTCCATGGCTCTAGTATATGAAAAAATTAACTCCCAGCGAGAAGAACCTACTTCTGATCGCCTCCATGTTCTTGAAAGTGAGCAAGCTTGGCCAGTGGCTTCCTGCGGCAGGGAGACAATGCCTTGGACTGCTTGGTACACAACTCTTCTAGCTTTTCCATGAGCCTGCTTTGGGATCTAGCGACCACGGTCTCTATGGATGAACAGAGAAGACCGAGAACTACTTACTACAATCTTGCTACGATAAGAAGGGCTTCCAACT